GAATTACTAATTACATTCCTGACAGTAGGCATTACAATTTATGATGTTGGCTTAATAATGTGATTCAGGTAGGATCATGATCAGCTGAACTGCATTAAGATATGGTTATTAAAATTATTAGAGAGATGACTCTGAGTTAAGGTGCAAACAAGGCCATGTGCTGAAGTCAATAGCACAGACTTTTATTTAGCAGTAAATGTGAAGGAGAGATAGAAAGAAATTGAGTGGGTGGGGGGAGAGGAGAAAGAGCATGACAAACACAGACAAACTAAGTAGAAAAAATATCGTCACTGCATGGTCCTGATGGCATCTCCTTGGTCCTCTTTTTCTAGTCTTCTTGATGATGAGGTTTCCAGTCTTGTCAAAGTTCTCTGAGTGGGGGAAGCCCACAAAACATAGAGTCCATTGCATTTATATTCGCTCAAGTTCAGGTGGGAGTGCCCAGTTACCTTGCCATCTAAGATGTTAGAGCTGCCTCTTAATGTCAGTGAAGCTGAGTCATTTATGTTCCACCAGTTATGTCAGGGATGAATACCTTCAGGCTCTGTGTGAAAGTCCTGGTTCTTCCCCACAGGGAAGTTTTCACACCTGAGCCATTATGTTAGAGAGGACTGGCATGATATAAAGTGTTATCCCAATTCACAAGACTTGCCTCTTACCAGCCTTGTTTAGCTGTGGCAGGTGGATTGTCTGAGTCATTAATCATTAACAGTCCACTCTGTCCACTCCAGTCTGTAACTGAAATATGAATATCCAAATGCTTAATTAATTATTACATTTAATACATTTCTTCATTTGGTTTTGGCATGTCATAAAAGATTGGGGGACAAAGTCAATTAATACCTTTTTTCCTGTGTTTCAGCTCTAAGTTCAGCAGTAAGATACAGTATGTCAACACGTTGGCAGAGCTTCGTGAGATGATTCCAATGGAATATGTGCATATACCAGACAGTATTGTCAAGTAAGTGATGTACAGTAGCATGTACTTGTCCTAATGGGAACTATTTCCACAAACTGATAATAGTGTTAAAGACTGTAAGAAAAACAGAAAGCACTTTCCTGATCTTCTTAAAAATGATTATGTGTTGTTCCTCAAACATTTCTGTGTCAAACTCAGTGGCAGGAGACCACAGTGTCATGGAAACACAAAACACATTAAATATTTACTTTACTTTAGGGGCGTGGGAAAATTGTTTGGCCTTTCCTGAGGTATCATCTATGCCATATTTTTTCATAACTTTTACTTCTATTTAAGTGGAAGTGTTTTAAAGTTTCAGTCTTGCAGGGCTTTTAGCAGAAATGCTAATTAAAAGATAGCCTATTCAATAGAAGACCAGTGAAATTCCGTAGGTTCACTGGTCCTTGCCTTGCCAATTCTTGTGGCTAAATTCACAACTGCTGAAAGATAGTTTCTTAGTTTTTGCTGCTTATGTGAAGAGGTTTTTTAAATGCAGGCATTTCCAAAGGAAAGTATCTGTTAAAAAATTGTAGGAAGTTGATTGGCATTGCTCACCTCAACTGAATTTTTTTCAGACCTGAAAACAACAAAAAGAAGTGGTATACCAAGAGTGAAAGCATGACTGAAAAAAAAACTCATGGTTTTCATGTAGTCGTTATTAAAATTATGTTCTGTTCAGGAATTTTTTTTTTTAGATTGTTTTCTGTAGCAAATGTCCCAGGTTTTGAATAGCCTGTTCTAGAAGGTAGTTTGCAAGTATGATTGTATTTTCATTATGACTGGTCAGTGACAGCTTTTGAAGTTGCCATAGGTCTCCTCAACCCAGGCAGGAATTTTCACTCCTGTTTCACAGTAGTTGTAAAGCAATTTCCTTTGTCAAGTTGGTGGTGTAATTCCATGGAGCAGGCAGGAAGCTCAGGTCTGGCAGTAGCAGTTGAGAAAACAGAAAAGAGAAAACAGTTGCAAAATCGGGGGTCATAGAGACTTTCACTCAGGTTCATTTGCTGCTGTAACTTCTTTAGAGGTGGAGTGGTAATAAGAATGTGGAGCAGAGGCTGTTTATCAACTGACAAACAGCTGTCCATAATGTTCTAACATCCCTAACAATTCTTTTGATTCCTGTAAACATTTTAGTTTCTTATGGTTCCCTTTGATAGAAATCTTACCGTTTCTATCTAACCTCAGAAAGTTTCCATCTGTTTCCTTGCTGTGTTTTACTGTTGCAATGTGGCAGTACACACATCTGTGTTGCAGACATTTTTTCTTCCCCATAAACTTAAAAATGTTCAAAAAGTCCATTCACCTCTCAGACCAAGGGTGAAATGATCACAGCAGTAGTACCAAATAAACTTTAGTACTTAAAGAGTTTTAGGGTAATGCCTGCTTCACGTCATCAGCAGCCAGATGAGAGATCATGATTTTGCTGAAAAAGACAGACCTGGAAAGATGACAATTGCACCCATTGGTGGCAGGCTTGTCAAGATGTTGTAATAAGAAGATTTAGTGGCTGTGTGCATTCAAGGCATCTGTGAGTGGCTATTCCCATACCGCAGGGAGAAGAGCAGTGTTCAGTTCATAGCTTCCCTTCTGCTGCAAACTCAGAGAGAAACAGAAAAATACAGCTCATCTTTTGGCTTCATAATTGCTTCATTGCCAAGAACAAACATACCACCTATGGGCAAGAAAAATCCCACCTTTAGAAAGTACATAGTGTTTTGCCAGAATTTGGGTTATGTGGTTTTCTTGGTAGTTTTTCAGTGAAGCGCTATAAAATATGATTGTTGTATATGAACTTGTACATCTTTTCTCTTCCTTCATCCACTCTTATCTTGTAAGGTATGATGAAGATAAGTGTATTAAGAGAAGACTGAGGTAAAACTTGCTTTCTAGCCCGTGCTGCTGCTCATAATAGAGTGAATCTGTGTGACAGCTTTTCACCTGCAGGCGACCTCAACAGCTGAATGGGAGAGGACTTGCAATGACATGGCATCTTACTTTCCCCTTCAAGCTGTTGAGATCAGCCTCCCTTGCAAATAAAACTCACTGAACTGTAAACGTCCTTGACTTGGCCCAGGCTGCAGCTAGTTTAACATTACCTGATAGAGCAACTGAGTGCTTTCAGCTCTGTCCACTGGGCATGCCTCAGACCCCTGCTGCTTCTCTGTCTCTGCCTCCAAGTCAGCTAAATAAGGACTTACAAATTTAAGGTGGGTTGAGCACAAGGATAAATGGTATCATACTGAACTGAAGAGCTTTAGAGTTAGCTCTAAATAATACTGGGTGCTTATTACAAAAGCATGTACTGTATTTGTTCTTTGCTCTGCTATTGCTCTGCTTCACTCTTATGCTCTGCTTGCTTCTCTTGTTTCTTTATATCAATAACTTTTACTCATGCAGACTGGATGAAGAGCTGAGGGAAGCATCAGAAACAGCTAAGTAAGATAGCTTTCAGCTGAATCCTGGCATTATATTGTTTCACAGGAATAGCTTGAATGCAGTAGTACATTGTGTTTGGTACAACAGGCAGCTTGTAGTTTCAATTACTGTGTAAGTTGCCCCATTTGAGAATTGACTTCCCCTCTCGCTGCTTTTGTACTGCTGGATCTCGGTAATAAATAATTATACCCTTACACTACAAAAAAACTTTTTGCTGTTTTTTGATGATTATTTCTATAGTCATGGGAATGACTGAAATCATGTACTCCATTAAAATGGATCATTAAACATTTTCTACTCTTCCCCTCTTATGTCGGATGATTCATACAGTTTTTAAGAGTTAGTTCTTTCTACAGTTTTTTTTTTTTTACAGTTCACTAAATCAGGGTTAGCTATCTCAGTTAAGGTAGGTATGTAAATTCTTTTGTCTTTCCAATATTAGCTGGATAGGCTGGGGAATTAATACTTGATAATAATTTTATATTGTCTGTGGTTACTTAACCATGGGCATGTGATGATCAAATACTTCAAAATTATAAGTCTGTGCTTTGACTTGAATATAATGTGGTAGTATGGTGTAGAGTACCAAAGAAATCCTTAAGAAGTGCACTGTCCATGACTCACTGAGCAGAGCTTTAGAAAGTGTACAGTGCATTTCCTCATGAGTATTTTACACAGAATTCCTGAGGAGGAGTCTGTGTCTGTTGGTCCTAGTATAACATTCTCCCTTGCAGTTTTTGTAATGAAAGATTTTGAGTTTTGAAGTTTCTTTCCAGTCACCTTCCTTTTGCTTATGCATTTCAGGATTTTCCACTTACAGCTTCTTCTTTGCTGTACTTTTTCTAAAAGTTCCTTCTTTTGCAGTACACATTTTCCTTCAGTTCTTCTGAGGTTAGTTTCTAAAACAAACACAGAGAAATACCTAAAACACTGGCCACTGCTTTTTGATTCTAGGAGTTAACACTGCCTCAGAAGCAATAAATTCACTTAAATAGTTATCTGATACCACCTGACTGTTTTGTTAAACTAAAAGGCCTAGCCACCCTTGAAATGCTACTTTTATCCCTTCTGTTCAAACATTTCCAAATGCATTGTGTATGCAACATTGTCACACAAACATATGCATATGACAATGAGAACTCTGTGGAAAAAAGCTGCTTTCTTGTTAATCCATTTAAAATAGTAGAGCAGCAGTGCAGCAAGTGAAAGGGGAATGAAATAGTCATATGAGGCATCAGTGGTTATTGTTACTGTTGGATGTATGAGATCACTGTAGTGCATTTCCCTTCCTCAACTTAAAGAAATAGCTTAAAAATTCGTTACTCAAACTAATGTGTGTTGTGGGCACTAAGATCCCTACATTCCTAGAAATAACAACATTTGTGTGTTTGTGCTGTCAAAGATACTCACTACAGTTAGTTATTACATCCCCAAATTTGTTGTTATATTTTAAAAGAGAAAGAAATCAACACAGAAAAAAATGTTTACTCATCTTTTTCCTTGTATCCAGAACTAGCTGCCTCTCAAATGATCCAGAAATGGCTTCAGTGGAGCAGGAGTAAGAATTTATGCCTAGTACTGTCATTACATTTTAACATTTCTTTACAACCATACCGCTAGGAACTGAGGCTGGGTAGACTCCTTAAAGCTTTTTTAAGACCTAAATACTTTTATGGTGATATTCAGGAACAATGTGGTACAAGCAGACAAAGCATTGAAGCTTTGTTATATTTATATTATATATACTTTATATATGCGTTATATACTGAAGGTGTGTTATATTTGTGTTGCACTGGGAATGTGTTTGAAGTGTCCTTAACCATTTCCAAGCAGAGAGACATATAATTGTTAGCCTGAGAATATTCTGATTAAATTATATTAAAAACAGATAGAAAAAGTGGAGCATGATCACAGTGAAGATGGTTCCATGCATTATCCTAAATTTTAAACTTGCTATTCTCATTCAAAGATTAAAAAGTCTTGTCTTTTGCTTTGATTTCTGGGCCATACTCTTTAACATGTGCCTTCTCATTGCTTTTCTGCTTCTCAGCTTCTTTCATAATTATTTTCCTGCTTAAATCTCAAGCATCTTTATCTTTATCAAAGATGGACTTGTTCCCTTGGAAATGGGAATGTGTCAGTCCTCTGGTGTGCCGTTGCTCTGTCTGATAGCATGACATGCAGATGGCAGACCCTGCAGTGCTGCTCTTCCTGTAGATCAGTGGGAGTGTTTGTAGGTGCAGTGTGTCACGGGAGTGCTGTCAGTTCCTTGCTGGAGCAGCGTGTCAGGAGAGCCAGCCCTGCAGCAGCGCAGTGTGTGTCCTGGCCAGTGTGCACAGGGCAGAGACATTGAGGCTCTCATGCTCTGCAGGAAATACTATATAGTAAACCTGAATCCTCAGCAAAAGATTCCAGCAATAACATGACTATTAAATAAACAGGCAAATAATTAGACATGTATGTAGCAAAAACTTGCATAAATAAATTGAAGCTTTGGTTTTCACTTTTTTTTTTTTTTAAAAATAGTGGTCTAGTGAGCTATCACTCTGTCATACCTTATACACAGGTTAGAAACATAAGCTAAATTCCTGATTCCTGAACTGACATTACACCTCATCTCTTTTTTATCTCAGACACTGTTTTATTCTATAATGAGTCAATATGAGAACTGTTTTTCAAAGTAAGAACAAAAGATGGCATAAGAACAAAAAATGACATGTTAAAAACTGTTTGTGTATGATTTTGACCTTTTGTGGCTTGAACAGCTTTCCTGTTTTTCTCAAACAATAAACTGGGCAGCAAAAAGCAGTATGAGAAGAGAATTTACATTTATGTTAAATAAATATAGTTAAGGCCAAATTAATGTTAATTCATGGCATTTATTTTCTCTGCATAAATATGAATCTGTCTTCAAAAGGGGCAGTAGTTTTCCTGTGATCATATCCCTTATTTCTTGTGTCAATTCTTCAGGAAATAGCATCCTATATAAATCCCTTCACTCTGAGAACAGCTGTTTTACACAGACTTTCTTTCTGTATACTTTCTGCTGAAATGCCTCTGGAGTCTGCCCAGCACTTAGTTTGCTTCTGTTGTCTCTTTCATTTTGTTCCAAAGGCTTTTTTCTATTGTCATGCTCCCTTGTGTTCTATTTTCAACTCCTTGCACTTCTTCCTGACTTTAAAAGAAATATTGGGAAATAATTCATAGTGGAAGAACCTCCTGTAACAGTTCATAAATATTGAGGAAACTTTAAATTATGTATACTTTAAGGAAGACTGTATCTAGAGACAACATTTATGAAGACAACTTCGTACTCTAAAGAATACTTTTGAAGTTTCTGATGACATGTGCTTTGCACTAAGTAGCAAATCTGTACGCTTAGGAACATTTTTAGGGATACCCATTCCTGCCACACTGTTGTATCATTCCACCAGTTGATCTTCCCCCACCTGATACACATGAGATTGGAGTTGCTGAAAAAGTAGTTGTTAATTTCAGTAAAACAGTAACAGAACTTACTAATATGTGTACTTTCATAGAGGTACGTAGGATGTAAGTTATTTCATACTACTGCATTTAAGTAAATGAGAGATAAGGCTGCTAAACACTTTGTGGGAGCTCAGGATTGGGGAAATAACTAGCTCTGTGTTTTCAGAGCACTCAGTGATTTTTTGTTGTTGTTCTTTGTCATTTTGTCTTTAATAAATAGCATCGACATGACCCTGAAGTAAGAAGCATCATTGCCAGGCATTTGAAGAAGAGGGTTCACATGGATTTTCATCACCCGGACAATCACAACCACGCCGTACAATAAGTGATCTGGTCAATTGTATTTGATTTATAGGTTTCCCCTGTCATTCCGCAGTCCAGGAAGACGAAAACGGCCAGTCCTATGGCCATGGAAACAGCAGAATTTTGGGTCCTGGTTATTTTTGTTGTTTTCAGAAACAGTTTTCATTAGGAAAGCCATATCATCTAGCACTGGTTTCTCTGTGTGTGCCATTTCTGTTTGAAAGGATACCATTTTACCAACAGTGTGCCTCATAAATAGGTCAATGAGGATGGGGATTTTTTAATTTTTGTCTTCAGCATATTAATGTTTATGCATAGCTGAACACGGTAGTTATTGTTACAATAAGTGTTAGTTTGCTTGTGTCACAGAGCAGCAGCAACTTTACTGTTTAAAAATAGCTTCAGAAATTATGCAGGACTTTCTTGAATTTGACACACCGTGTTAGATCAGGCTTTGGGCAGCCTGTCATAGTGAAGGGTGTCCCTGCTCAAGGTAAACAGGCTGGAACTAGATGATTCTTAAGGGCCCTTCTGACTCAAAGTATTCATACTTTTATGAATTTGTTTTTCTTGAGGTCTGAAAAGTCTTTCCATCTTCATTAAATGACTTTTTGTTTGATCAGAGAAAAGTGTGATATACAAAAAATAATAATTAGTCTCGTTAGACTTCCCAGGGGATGAATGAGTAACTGAAATTAATTTTAATTTAATAATTCAGTTTAGTATATTTATTTTAGGCATAATTTCCTAGAAGCAGCTAATCCTGTAAATTACTTTCATAAAATCCTTGGAGCATTAATTTATTGCTGCTTTCTAAGTCTATTTCTTCCAGAACATTTTTTTAAAGTTATGAATCTTCAAGTGACATCCTGTCTCCAGTTGTAAAGGCTGTTAATTCTCTGAATATGAATCAAATATTATTTCCTACTGGGAGCTGAAAGCTGGGAGTCATACTCATTTGTTAGGAGTATTTGTTAAAATCTTGCTCCAAGAGTTTCTATTAGACAAAAAAATAAATCTTATACTGGTATTTATTGTCTGTGTCACAGAACACACCAGTAAAAACATAAAAGGGAAAAACTCTAAGCATCTTTTGTTTGCTGGGGTCCTATTTATTTGCACAAAAGATACTACAGCAAGTCCTACTCCTTACTGGGAAATAGCTTCAGTTTCTCAGATCATGCTTTTACAGAAGTGTGCAAATAAATTACCTAGTGATTTCTGTTTGACTACTTTAAAAAGATGAGAGTCAAGAAAATGATAAATGTTTTCTCTTACCCTAATGAATACACATAGGCACTTTCCAAACCTGCTGACTCACCTGCCTTTTGGGAAGTCCTAATGGAAGTCTTATTATTACATAATCTCTGAAATATTATTCTTTTTTCACAAGTTTTTTCTATGCTTTAGTGTAGTGTCCGTGGATTTTTTACTTTGTAAAGAAATTCTTAGACATAACAATTCATGGTAAGTTGCACCTTATTAGTATGGTCTAATTCTAGTCCTGCTTTCAGTTCAGAACTAGTGATAAAAGAGAAAACAAGCAAAGTATTTCTTGGGACATAAAGTTTAAGCAGAAGCAATAGAGCATGAGCCTTCATGTTTTCAGCAGGATCTAAACTGCAAGTTCTATTCAGTCCTTCATTTAAAAGTTTGATGGGGTTTTTTGTGGTTTGCACATTTCCAACTCTGTCCATTTCTGTTTCTTGTATTTGCAAGGGAGTCTGCAAGCAGTGAAGCAAGTGTCATTGTGTGCATAGTTGTTCAGCTACTGCAATGAAGACTGACAAAGTTGTCAGAAAGGCAGAAGAGTGCTTTCTTATTGGCCAACAAAAAACCAAAATATGTGTCCTCTGCTCTGTGCTGGTATCTGTCTGACTTGCTAGTCTGCTGTATCACATCTGTCAGTTCCTGTAAATTTTCACAAAGGAAGGGCCTGATCCTGCTGACCATTGTTGCTGCTCTGTAACCTTGTCCTAAACTAGGGTCTGGTAGTCTCCACCTTTTCTCAAATATTTGAATCCTGGCTTGTGTCTTGCCTTATAAAAGTGCTGTCACTTAGTATATTGGGGATAATGTTTTATGTACAGATTAATATTTGTATTGACTTCCAGATGCTAATTAAGCTTCATTAAGATCTAAACTATTAAAAGCATTTAGGAGCATGAAGTTGCATCTTTTGTAGACCTGTAGTTGAAGCTTCTTAGGACAAGCCACATGACCTGTGTTATACAATAGATGAGAAAAGTTTCCACCAGAAGAGAAGTTCACCACAAAGCAGAGTTCAGCACAAATCTTCATTCACTCTTTGAGACCCTATATGGGGTATGAGAGGTTTGTGATTTTAATGGTGGACATCAGCTCAGAGTTGAATTTAATTCTACTTGCTTTGTGTGAAATTACTAAGCAGCAAAGTTACAGATTAATATTATTATTATGGGCAGAATAATGGTGGCAGCCTGAGATTAAATGAATGTGTTTAAGCCAAATGGCATGTTAACACAAAATGGGGCATTGATGAGATAATTAAAAAATGATTGCAGGATCAAAGTGTGGTTATCTTTGCTTATTAATATATTTTGAAAAGTTTTTTAATGTTATGATAAGGCAATTCTATGTTATACTAACAATAACATATCAATATTAATAAATCAGTAGTTTGTTGAAAGAGAAATATAGTACGTATAATTACACAGATACAAGCTTTTATATATGGATTTTTTCTACTGTGTATCAGAGTGCTCAGATGAAATATAAATTAGTAGTTGCAAATTTTTTTGTTAAAATACCTATGCTGACTTAAATTATAGATTAAGCAATACAAGAATATCTAATAGCATTGTATGGATATATATACCTATGAATCAGAAATAAAGAATTGCAACCCACCACTGGACATATTTCCTTTCAGCTCCAGATTGCAGGGGTTTTTATTCCCTTGGTGCATGGAAACACTTCATTGGTTTAGATCACTTCTTTTTATAGTTAGAAATATTTTGTTTTATTTTGCATTCCCTGTCTGTCCTTCCAAAACCTGAAACGGAGTCCATCTTGTGTCTCATGGTATTATTCCCCATCTCCACGTATTAAAATCCTGGCTTTGTTGATACTAGCAGTATTGTTCCTGAAAGGAAGCAGAAGGAACTCTTTAAATTTCTTTCTAATTTATGTCTGTACTATTATGTAAAATCAAATCCACAGACAGTCCATCTTATATGTCAGAAAGTCAAAAGCTACGGGGCAGAAGGAAGTTGACTGTGAAACCACCCTGAGCAGGTTAACAACCTGACTCACTTCAGTGAAGGAAGGGGTCAGAGCTGCTGGTGGACGTGGAGTCCTCTCACCTGCCTGGTGCATTGTGCCCACATGCCACTCCATATCTGTGTCAGATGGGCCAGTTTGTACTGCCACTAAGTAAACCTGGCTGATTTTTGCAGATAGCCTGATCGTTGTCCAGCAGGCACCAAATACAAGATTAAAGGGGTTGAGCTGTGGCTTCTTAATTGCCTCCCACCTGAAAGCAGCTCTGTGAGTGATCCTAGACCTTTTCGGAGTCAAAGAAGTTGGATTGAACAAACCTTCATACTTGTTGAAAATAGGTTTCTTGACTTCTGATAGGTTTGGAGATTTATCAGATGTTTACCACATTATCAGTTTAAGTGTAAGAAGTGATCCTCAATTTCCTACTAGTGTCACTAGTGGGAATAACTGACAGGCCAGATTGTGTTGGCTATGCAGCCAAATTTATTTATTTCTAGGAACAAGAGGGGTGTCCCTGTATTGCCTGGCACAAATGAAGCCAACTGAGCAAACATCAGGAAATCAGCAGTTTTAACTTCTCATTTGCTATCCCTTTCCTCCAGCAACCCCTCTGGCACCCTGTTCCTATTGCAGAATGCAGCTACCATGCAGACAGTTATCTCCTATGCTCAGAAGACCAGAGAATGGCACTGTGAAGTTAAAATATTAGCTGTTCCTGTTTGCACTGTCATGATTTACAGTTCTGTACTCTTTGCTTGACAAAAGGCCAACCACTACAAAATACAAATTGTCCTCCCAAAAAAATTACTTTGCAAAGGTACTGAAGTCTTTTCAAAAATTGTATGTTTGGTTCTTACACATATTTTTCCTAGAAACAGTCACCCATTTCAGAATGGTCACTTACTGCTCACACAGTGTGTATTCTGAAAGCAGTCTTAGTGATTCTGGTTTGTCCATTCAGCCCAAGCATTAGAATTGACTGGGCTGTGCTCTCCCCACTAAATTTGAGAATCTGAAAGGAACTGCAGCCTAAGCTTGCCATTATTTTTTTTTTTTTATTCCTTGTTGTTTTCCTGCATTTGAGATAACCCTCTTAAATGCAGCTTTGTGGAAATAGGGCAGAACCTCTCTCAAGACTTCTGGTAGATGGTGCAGACTGCTGTAGGTTTTTTGATGTATCTGTGCCAGTTGATCCTGCAGCAATTATTATTTTTAAAGAAAAACACACATGACTGATTTTTCAAGTACACTTGCCATCTCCTTTTGAAAAATCCAGTGTCTTGGTCTTTTATATAAAACAGGAATCAAAGGCAAAATTGCTTTTTTTTCTTTTTAATGAAATGAATACTGTAATTATTAGAAAAAAAATCAGTTTTGTTTGTTAGTATGTGCATATATGTTAGCATTGTTAGCAGGGTCTTTGTTGGCTTGAAAGGGTGAAGGTTTTGGTCTTGAGACCAGAATTATGTTAGGTGTGAAAATGCACTTTACCATGTTACCACTACAGTACATCATATTTGGATTGTAAAGGCAGAAGAAATGTCATTTCAAGCCAATATAATATATTATGAATAAATAGTTTGAATGCAGCACAGCAGTTTCTGAATGATTCTTAAATACTTTGAGGGTAATACCAATAGACCCATGTGCCTGTCCTAACGCTACAGTAGTGACCTATGAGCAGTCTTAGGAGTAAATACTGACTCCAAAGAATAAAGTTTCTGTCGTATTTGAGTTGACCAGCTGTGACCTCTGTTGGGGGCTGCTGCAGAAAAAAAAAAGGTGCAGTGTTTCTCACACTGTATCTGCTCAATCAGAAAAACTGATAGACTAAGCATTTCAAGCCACACCATTCAAAGGAATTAAATTTGTTCCTTTATTTCACTTCTCAGTATTGTCTCTTTAGATGTTTATAAGTCCAAACTCACTGCTAAAATATAGGCAGTTAAAAGAAAATTCAAACTTGCCATGTCAAAACTTTATCTTCTTATCTCTATTATGTATTTCAGTCGGCAGCAAGCAAAGCAGCCTTTAGCAATGGTAGGAAAATAATCCACAGGGTACTTCCCGTGCTGCTCCCTGAGGCCTGGTATGTAAAGCAGACTCTATCCATGAGGGAGTGACTGAGAAAATGAAGTGCTGGCTTTCTAGCACAGACCTGTGTTAAGCCATCAAAACCATAAAACTTATCTCTGTCTTCATCCCTTTGAAGTATGAGTAACGTTGTCTTAAACAGTCAGCCGAAAGAACACACAGAATATTAATGTGAAATTTGGCCTTTATTATGTAAAATGTAAGACTAAGGAACACAGCTAAAATTATCAGTCAGAGAAAGGAAAACTAGGGGAAGGAAGGACAGGTCAGGGAAATGACTGGGGGAGGGTAGGGTTACAGGCATCTTTCTGCTTGAGGCTCCAGTCTCCTTCCAAATTCTGATTCTCCTTAGGGAGAGCTTCTGAAGCACAGCAGGCCTGTTTGCGTGGAGCCATTGCTTAAAACAAGCACAAGTGAGCTCTGTTCCTAATGTTATTTTCCCCCAAATTTAAAGAAATTATGGAATACCTGGAGATAAGTGGCTTAATCTGGTGTTCACTCAGTTTAGAATAAAACCCACTCAGCCAGTGTGGAGACAGCACAGGGGAGCAAGCTGAAGAAATGGGAATGTTGCACAAATTTAGAAAATGAAATTTTACACATTTCTTACTGACTTGCACAGAATAAGCATGAGTCAAAAGACGTCATAAGTGTGAATTAGGAAACAAATTAAATATAGAAAGGAAAGAGCAAGATGCAGTAGGGAGGCATATGGAACATGGTGTTTCATAGTGGAAAATAGCTGCAGGAGAGAAATGACAGAATAGAAGATGAAGTATGCCAAAGAGGAAAAATGGAGACCAGAAATGCAATGTAAAATAACTTTAAAAAAGAAAGCTTATCGCCTCAGGGGAGAATTCTTGTATGTCTTGACAGATCAATAGCAGTGCTCAGACAAGAAGCTGCCATCTCCTGAAGGTGTCACAGTGGTATATGATGGCATAGATTTATAGAGCAATAAAAACCTCAAGTTATCTGCTGGCTCACTTCCTACTGCATCACCACTGGAACAGGAAAGAAAATAAGTATGGTGAAATAAGTGATTTGAACACTGCAGATTTTGGGATCAAGCAGCAAAATTAGTGAGACCTTGCTGATCCACTAAAGTTGGTCTGGTACTCTTTAAGTAGAAGAGTTGGCTGTGTTGGGGTTCCGTGACTGATGACGATCATACTTACTGAACAGATTAACCCAGAACACGGTCCACCAATAAGGTTACACTATCCAGGTGGTCACTGTACTCCCAGTAGGAAAGATTCATAAGTACTGGCTGCTGCTGTTTTCTGTGGAATCAATTTTCTTTGAAAAAATTTCCTTTAAAATAGAATTTTGTTTAGTTTTCAGTAATTGGAGATCGGGAATCTCTATTCTGTCCGGTAGGCTGTGACACACAGTAACGGTGAGAAGTGTCTCTCGTTGACAGCTCTCATTAGATGGAGAGAAAAACCATGAACACACCCCTTCCTTCTTTTTCTCCCCAGCTCTGTATGCTGAACATGTTGGCTTATGGTCAGGTTGTGACATCCCTTTGATCAGTTTGGTTCAGCAGTTCTGACTGAGACCCCTCCTCACTCCTGGAGCACTCCCAGCTGCTGGTGGTGGGGGTGGAGGGTCAGAAAGTGGCTTGACTCTGTGTAAGCCTGTTTAGCATTGATTAAAAAAAATTACTGAGAGGTTGGTGAGGCACTGGAACAGATTGCCCAGAGAAGTTGTGGATGCCCCACCTCTGGTTAAGGCCAGATTGGATGGGGGTGTGAGCACCCTGGTCTAGTGGAAGCTGTGCCTGTCCATGGCAGGTGGCTTGGAACTAGATGATCTTTAAATTCCCTTCCAACTCAGACCATTCTATGGTTCTTTGCTTTGTTTGCTATCAACATCATTTTGGCCACAAAACAGAACCATACAAACTACTATGAAGAAAATGAACTTTTATCCCAGTCAAAACTAATAACACCGTCTCAAAACCAATAACACCAGCTCAAAACCAAGCTGCTGTTAATAAACATAATTTTGGCCTGCTAAATCTGAATTCAGGCATCTTAAAATGTTGTGCCTTAAACAGAGCAGTGATCAGCAAGACACCGGTCTAGATGCTGTTGGTGTTCTGACATTTTCAGTTCATGGGAGGCTTGTCAGTCGGGTTCAGTACCTGCTGTGGATCCCTTTCCCAATTGCCAGAGTATGAAGGGAGTAAAAATGCATAAGGCTAGTGATGTGAACCCAAAGAAACCATGTTGTCACCAATTTTGTTAACTTACTTGCCCGATCTAGCAGGTCCTAGGGGGCGAGTGGTGTTGGGGGTGGTGGGGGGAAAAGCGCTCTGTTGTGCCAAATCAGACAGGGATAAAGTGAGGTAAAGGGGTAAAGTCCCCTCAGAATTACCCATCTGAGACTGCCTAGACACCCTTCTCATTTTCAACTGTGATTTCAGCTCCTGCACTTTTTGCAAAGCTGGTTCTCTGTCTTCCTCTCATGTAAGCAGGAACAGCCTAGGAAAAAGGTGGGCTTTTTTTGTGAATGCTGAATAGAACCC